GGAGGTGCCCGCGCTCATCTCGGACGGCGAGCCGCTGCGGGAGGAGGTACCGGCTCTGAGCGGTGGGGGCCGGAGCCGGGTCGGAGCGGGGGACGGGGGCGAGGGAACGGGCGAATCCCCGGGCCCGGGCTGAGGCGGGAAGCCCTGGAGCCCCTGCGGCCAATGACGTCATTGGGGCAGCCTGCGTCCTGCGAGGGGTCCGGGGGCCTAGGGACCCGCGTGGGTGCAGGGGTGCGGCAGCTGGGAAGGGATGTGGGGGGCGATCCCCGGCCTCTGCGTCCCCTGTTCCAGCTTCTCCCTTCTGTGACGTCAGCGCCTGGCCCCTCCAGCCCCGGTCCCGCAGCACTGCCCTCACCCCCAGGGGCCAGGGGTCAGGCCCCCAGCAGTCCTGGCCGCTCACGAGGTGCCAGGCGGAGCCTGCAATGCAGCAGCAATAGCAGGGACTTGGGGGGGGGGTAGTGGAGGGAGGAGGGGAGAGAGGGAGGGAGGAGCCCTTTGGTACCCCTGCACCTCACCCAGCTGCGAGGCCCTAGGGCCCATCCTGCTGGCTGGGACCCCTAGGATGGCCCCCCTTCAGCTCTAGCTAAGTAGAGATCTGCAGGGGCGTGGGCCTAGTGTGGGTGTTGGGGTGATAAGTGGTGAGTGGGTCTGTGTGTGTGTTTGGGTGAATGCAGTGTGCCTGTAGGTGTGTGAACACTGGTACATACTCCCACACCTTGGGTGGGACACATGGGCCCTCCGGTCAGATGAGGGTCTGATGGGTCCCTTGTCTTGGGTAAAGTGGTCATGTGTGAGTGCATGCGAGTGTGTCTTGTCGTGGGTGGGTCTCTCCTGTCCAGACTGTAGGGTGTGGGTGTCAGACTGCAGTAGGGGTGGGGGTGGAGAATGTACACTGTGGTCAGGTGAGGGTCTCACGTGTCCCTGGGCTTCAGTGAATGTGTAATATGCATGTGCATGTGTGTGTCCCATGGCGGGCGTGGGTGTGTGCACGCGCATGTGCACCTGCGATCCATGTTATGGTGTGGGGATAGGGGGCTGTGCCCTGGGCACAGGCGAGGGTCTGGCGTGACTTGGATGAGCAGGCAGTGTACACGCCTGCGGTGAGGGGGCCTGTGACGACTGTGGGGAGGGGTGGGGGAGTGGCTGTGTGCATCTGACTGGCCCCGCAGGTCAGGGTGGCCGTGTGCACCTGTGCTGGGTGATGGAGGGGGAGGGCAGGCCCCTGGGCTGGGATGGGGGTGGTGCCTTTCCTCCTGGGTCTCTCAGGCCTGGTGGGTCTGGGGTGGGGGAGGTGGCCCACTAACCCCACCTTTGCTGTTTCCACCAGACCATCTCTCCCCCCCTTCCCCCCCTCCTACTTCCTCCCCTTTTCTCTCTCCATAGGCTCTTGGGGGATGAGTGGATGACAGGTTGGCATCCCTGCCAGGGAGGGTGGGCCAAACCCTCTGGGCCAGGCAGGCAGTGGACCCTGCTGCCCAGCAGCTGTGTCGTGCTCCCTCCTTCAGCACAGATGGGGAGTGGAGGCCGGCACTCCATCTGCTCCCCCCAGACTCACACCTCCCCCGTTCCCAGCTCTTCCTCTTTCTCACTTCCTTAAAAAACTCTCCCAAGTCTCCTGCTGTCCCTAGTGGAACCGAGGGACAGGAGGGAGTCTCAGGGTGACAGTAATAATATTTATTCTCATGGCCAGACCCTGTGCTGAGATCTTCACACATATGATCTTGTTGAATCCTCTCAACAACCCCAGTTTACAGATGAGGAAACTGAGGTCCAGAGAGGATGAGGGACCTGCCCAAGTCATACAGTAAGTGGTGGAGCCAGCACTGGATCCTGGGCAGTCGGGCTCCAGTGCCTATGCTCTTTACCCTTAGGACCCCTGCCACCCTGGCCTCCCGCACCACGAGGTCCAGGTTGAGGCCCAGAGAGGGCAGGGATATGACCAAGACCACACAGCAAGCCTGGGGCAGAGCTGGGACCAGAACTCAGCCTTCTCAATGGCCAGTTAGGGGGCTCTTCCTTCGCTTGGCAGAAATGGGTCTGTGCCCATGACTGAGAAATGACAGGGCACAGGGGACAGACTCAGGGCAGATAGGCCTAGGTTTGAATCCTGCAGCTCTGCTGTGAGTTGGCTAGAAGGGTGAGGCCGGGAGAGAGTTATTCACCCTCTCAGAGCTCAGTTTCCTCATGTGTGGAGTGGCGAGCGCAGCGCCACCTCCTTCACTGGCTGAAGCGCAGTGGCCGGCACGGGTGACAGCCGGTCCTGATGTGCCTCCCTCTCCGCCCGCCCTGCAGCAGCGGCCCCTGAAACAGTCGCTGGGGAGCTCCCTGTGCCACGAGTCCCACTGGAAGTGCCTGCTCCTGACGCTGCTCATCCACTCCTGCGGCGCCGTGGTGGCCTGGTGCCGCCTGGCCACAGTGCCGC